GTGTGTGTGTATGTGTGTGTGTGTGTGTAAATGTATGCGTGAATGAGTGTGTGAATGAGTGGGTAGGGGTGTGTGAGTGAATGGGTGGGGATACGTATTGGTGAGTGGGAAGATGTATGGGTGGATGAGTGGGTAGGTGAGTGGGTTGATGAGTGAGTGAGTGAGTGAATGAGTAGGTGAGTGGCTAAGTGAGTGAATGAGTCAGCATGAGATTGAGTGAGTGAGTGAGTGTAGATGGATATGTGCCTATATTGTGGAGTGTGTGTATGCAGATGAGTATGTCTATCTGCAAGTACGAATGAGAGTATGGTATTGAAAATGTAAAGGTAAAATTATTTAAATCACAGGGAATGTAATATTGTTCGAGCCGGGATTGGCTACATCAGCCAAATTTCCCTTCACATAGAAATTCAGTATGTCAATTCTAATGCCCAATAAATCAGAGAATCTAAAGGAAAATTCACATTGGTACTTCCTAAGCGCGCAGCCGGCAAAGAATGGCGCGGGAGCAAACGCCGTCCCGAACGCTTGACAATGAGTCTGGCAGCATGTGTGGGAGCGTGGCGATAGTGAAGGTGATGGTGGTTTACGAGCCATAAAGACAGGGTAGGCGGGCCGGGCCAGCGCTCCCCACGACATACCCCCCCACCCCACTACCCCCGTCACGCTCCTTGGCCCCGACACACCACCCATCCCGCCCGCGGCCCTCACATCCCGGAGCGCGGGAGGGGCGGCCAGAAATGGGAAAGGGGGAGCCGAGGGAGAAGAAGGGAATAGCACGGCTCTGAACCACCGAATCCGCGCGCTAATAAAATCTCGCTGTCAACGGCTGTGCCGCATCGTGTCCCAGAGCGGGCAACTTTTCATTTGCGGTTCTGATAGCGTCATCCTCACACGATTTTTGTTTTCGGTGACAATGAGCGTGAGAAACGACTGTTTCTCTTTGTTTTCTGGCGCCTCTACCTTGAGTTGTTGCTCGACATTTGGTTATCGAAGAGCGTCCGATCCCTGGCATCTGGCCAAAATGTGAGCCAAGTCTAAAAAGAGCATAGTTATATCCATGACTTGGCCGATACGTCCCCCAATCTGCCCGGAGCCCTCCCATAGCTGCAGTTAGACCAATCAAGGGTCAAGGATGCCACATCGATCTCGTGAGCCGCAAGGTGAGGCCGCAGGCGCCGCAGCAGCTGAGGCCGCGGACCCCGGGCTACGAGGGGAGGTACGCCTTGCTGCGGCTCCCGACACGCCAACACCGCTTACAAACCACTTTCTCTAGACATGTTACGGCGCCCGCTTTCCATGATCAAACAGCGATTCACGGCCTTCCAGAAATTCGTGCACGTGTTCCGCTAATCAGTGGATGTGACAGCACCGATTCACATGTTTCTCAATGAAATGCAAGACGACATTGCGGCAGGCCTCTTGTCACATATTTCGTGACCCGTGGCATTATCAACATATTCAGCCGTCTCGTCCGTCATACCGCCCATGTAACCCACCCACCGATCACCCCTCCATCGCCCTCGCCCCCGCCCCCACGCCCTCGCATTCATCACCATACCTGATTACAGGCTCAAGTCAGACTTGCTTTTACATCATCCACAAACGAGACTGGATAGTGTCCCAATATTCCAACCCAGTGGTTCACCTTCCCCGCCCTTAGCCATTTGTAAGCAAGGCGCGAGAAAGGCAGGAAGGAGTGATAATCTCATTGGCTACGGGTGGCCTACTGACCGCCAGCTCAACGGCAGCCTTTGTTGTGCTGCCGTGACGTGGCCAGCGCTGCAAACTCGGATAACAGCCCGCCTTCAACACCGGCGCATGAGGAAAATGCACAGTACGAGGCATGAATCACTTGTTCTTAATCGGTATGATTCGGCGATTCCATGGTCACACGCCTGTTCTTAATGGGCGGTCAACCAACCCGTACGAAATTCCAACCGGTATGATGTCACCCTCAAATGAATGCGGCTACAACACTTCTTTCCCGAAATTCCCAAGTTACTGCATCATGCCGCTAACTTTACCACCTAGAGTTTCGTGCGTCTCCACTGCAGGACACTACGACTGCTCTTACTTAGTCTACACTTAACGCGTTCCTGCTCATCCAGTCATTAGAAATATCTTACTAATGTGAACCTGTTAGCCTAAAAACGATACCAGTAACAATAATATTTTCAAACTTTTCTCGCTCTTTTTCTGCTCCTCTTCCTCTATCCCTGCTCTTCCGCATCCTCCCCCTGATATACCATGCTCTTCTTCCTCCCCCGCCTTACTAAACTCAAGTCCCCTGTCCAGAAATGATGACAATTTTACACTAAATTACATTGTAACTACAGTGCAAACAGCCTTTATTGGAGATATGGACACTTAATCTAGATTACACAATAATTCTTGGATAATAATCAACAAAAAGCAAGACTGCCACAAAAAATCTAAGTTTGAGAGAGAGAGAGAAAAAAAAAACATAAAATGGTCTAGCTTAGCTTATTTCAACCATGCTAAAACAGTCCTTTATGGTCCTCCTTCAGACTGATATTTTGCTTTATTATGCTCAGCCTATCCCAAACCTGTAACTTCATGTGGCATCTTACATGAACTACTTCAAAAGAAGAAAGAGCCAATACTGGTCACCCAGAGCCTTTTCAGTATCTAATGGATTATTTTCTGTGACAGTAGCCTCAAACTAATGGGAGAGAAAGATGGGTCAATGATAAAAAGATTCTTTCAATTCTCCCATTCAGTTTCCCTTATTTATCATTCTTCAGATGAATCAAACTATTTCCCTTAATATAATGGTTCTTCAAATGGGATCATCAAAAGGAGTGTTAGATAATAGAAATGAAGGAGGTCTGTGGGTCAATTATAACAAAAAAAAAAAAAAAAAAAGGAGAAATACTTTTTTTTCATGCTAAAAAAATCAACACCAATAAAGAATATATAGCAATAAGGAAAATGTGGGAAAGATACTGAAGTAAGTGCATTCTTGTGCATAAGAAGAAACCAATTCCTAAGATTCCTGAATTTCTTACTTTTCCAAACTGAACACTAAACCAAAACCGCTGATGTGAAAGTTTTCTCACACTCTTTTATGGATTTAATTTTTTGTTAGAGGCCTTTGCGGGCACTTGTGACACATAGACACAAACACAAACACACACAGTCACATCCTTTAAGAACAAAAATTTATAAAACGCCATCAGCCTCATTTTTCTATTTACACACAATAACAGGTATAAAGACTAGACACATCTCTTACATACCTATTTTCAATATTTTCTGCCTGCATAACAGCATGGCATTCACTACATGCCCAGTCTTCTTCTGGTTCTTTGTCCATTCCAGCACATTTGAGATGAAAAACTCTTGGACACATTTCACAGCATATAAAAACACCTTCTCTATGGCATTCCCAGCAGTAGTTGTCATTCTGATAGTCCTGAAATATTGCATAAAAAATAATAATTTATTAAAATAATAAATTGTGGTTATGGCTCCTATTGTGGCATAATATGATCTTAATAGCTAACATCAATTATTCTCTTGTATTACTGTTAGTAGAGGATAATTTCTGGCTCATGTATGAGAAACAGAAATAGAAAATTAAGTGGTATGGTATATACACCATACATCCTATTCACTGGACTCAAAAGATAAACTGTTTGGCATAAATTTATGACCTGTGAATAACAAGGTTTTGCCACCATATCAAAAATAAAAAATCAGATTTGTCAGTGCTTACAGTAAACTGTAAATTAAATAAATTCATAGTATCCCTTGTCAAGAAAGTTTCCATACTAGTACATGTTATTCTCTTTCGCTTTTTCATCACAATATTAATCAGAACGACACCTACTTTTCTTTACAATGCAACAAATTCTAAGTATTCCAAAGTAGATGAAAAAATTCCAACTCCTGTTTGTTGACATATATTACTACTTCAATTCATTTGGCAAAAATGTGAAAACATTATA